GCTGGCCAGTTTGGCAACATCAGCTTGAGCGATGGTGTGATCGAGTTTGCGAAGACCCACGAGGAGCTCAAGGGCTCTTTCCTGACCTTCCAGAAGGATGCTGACCAGATCTACCCGGGCTGGAAGGAGAAGCTGGGTTACACCGGCGAGTCCTCCGTGCAGGCGGCCAGCTTCGACTGGGCCAAGAAGGCCTAAACTGACGCATATGACTCTGGTCTTGTTTATTAGCCTTACTTTTTTGGGCCGTCGCATTGCAGCTGCGATTCTGTGAGCTCAATTTTCTTGAGTTCCAAAATTATACTTCTCGCCTTTGCAAGGTTTTCCCCGCATCGTGCAGTTCGTGAACACAGTTGAGAGTCCATGACTTCGGTCATGGCCTAAGTGGGGTGCATCTTTTAAGCCCCCCTCGAGACAGTTCTTCAGGCCTCCAAAGAGAGCCGAGGCCTTGTGGCGGAGATAGCAAACCTTCCTTTTCATGGATATCTAGTAATCTAGTGTACATGAAGAATCCTGAATTAAGTTGGTGTGCACCAAGCATTCCCCAATGCGGCCATAGCCTTCTTTCAACCGCCCCTGAATTAGGACTAGGATCAATAGCACGTTCCTTGCCATTTTGTGTGACGCTGCCAGTGTGTGACTGCGCCGCGTCGCGTTGAGGCAACCTTTCTCCACGCAGATGGGAGGAATCCTCCCGTCGATTCTCCCTGGAGTCTGCTTTGTTTACTCAGTACACTCAGCCCATGCAAATGTTGAAAGCAGACTCCAGACAATTATCCCGAAGCAATTCTTTGTAGCATCTCCGGGGTTCCAGACATGGGGACGGGCTCGAAGAGCCTGGACGTTAGAATGTTCTTCATCACAGCGCAGCGCTAAACTGGCGAGAAGGTGCCTTCCAGCTGGTAGTGAGACGCCGCCCTGGTCATATTTGAGGTCTTCTTTCTCCAGCCTTCAATGCAACAGTATCCGCAGCTGCTGCAGGTCAATACACGTTTCTTTTCCTTAAGCCCCGTAGCAGAGTCTCTTGTCGGGATGGCTCAGCGTCCATCCAATCTTGCCCTTGCTGGGGCGGCTGCAGGCGCCCGAGCAACCATAAGCGAAACACTGTGATGATGACATGTATGACTAAACTGGTCAGTGTGCGCCACCGCTTTTCTGCCGCAACCACCGCCGCCGACCACGCTGCCGACGACACGGCAACGGCCACCGCCACCGCCACCGCGTCGCTGCCGCTGCTGCCGCTGCTGCCGCTGCTGCCACCTCCACCACCACCACCACCACCACCACCACGACCACCAGCACTATGACTACCATTACCACTACTAGTAGCACAACTATTTGCCATGACGTACAGTGACGATTACTCACCCTCTTTGTTTTTCGGACGAGAGTCAGCAGGTGGCCTGGCCCTGCTAAATGCCGCCACTGACGCTTTCGTCGCGGCGCCTCGCGAAGCCGCTGAGACAAGTTTACAGCCGCAAACTCCAAAACCATAAAAGTGGCAATAGTATGATTCGCAGTCTTCTTTGCTGTTGACTTATACGTATGTAATGCATATCTAAGTCTAGACCAAAGTGTAGTGTTACATACATGTCATGCAAGAGATTGCAAGAGAGAATAAGGCAATTTTTCCAAATTCAGGTCCCCTACATACCCACAAGACCACAAACCCTTTGTAGGGACTGCCAAAGAGGTCCATTTTATAGAAAAATCCTACCTTAAGGTCACCCATGGAGAGAGAGAGAGCCTACCCAACACGGGCTGGGCATTGAAGCCCGGAGGGGGGGAGAGATCCCTTCTTCCATAGCCTGAACGAAAGAAAGAAAGAGAGAGAGAGAGAGAGAATTATTTTAAACGTATTTTTTGGAGTGGACTGTATTGAAGGGACCGTAGATGCGACTCCCCCTTGACAAATCTGACGAACCACAACAAGCAATATAATTTACAGAACCCAGAAGATTACTGTATTATTTCAATCTAGAACCTTTGCTAGTTACAGATCCTGGCGCTACATTGCAGAAGCTGGGGGCCTGTGAGTTGTCCTCGTTGGCGCCTCACGTTGTTTTCTTGAGGTCACTGAGTGCTATTAGCCCAAGATGATGTGTTCTCTCTTGTCGGGATCCCACACGGAAGCTGAAAAGCCTGCGCAATGGGTCAGCCGGACTGACAAACTTAGTCATGCAGCCCATTCACGGTTCTGGTGCAGTAGCATGGGAGTTTGAATTTTGAATTGGATCCGAGTTTTTGCTGCTTGGGTTAATCTTTTTGAGTCACGGATATTGCTTCATGGTGCTTGTTGATTGCCATCACTCCCAAGTGTTGTCGTGTAAGTGTATAGTCCCCCTTAAGTAGATAGAGTATGGGGTATATGGGAATCTTATTCTAATATACCCAAAGCCATATTCTATCTACTGAAGGGGGACTATGATGTGAGCCCCAGCCTTGCCTTGTTCACGAGGCCAAGGCGCCAACTCTTCGTGGCAGCTCCAGGTCTCAGGCCCAGGCTGCGCAGCTTTTGATGGAGTCGGGACTTGGGAAGAAACATAGGGTATATATTGGGGTTATATAAGGGATAATGGAAAAGAAAATGGAAGCTATAGGGATTATTGCTTCCTGCAAAGCCCTTACAATTCGGCTTCCTGCATCTTCTTGCTGTTGAAAGGGGCCTGGCCTTTGTGCCTTATGTAAGGCGAGGGTGGAGCCGAAGTTCCAAGATGGTTGAAGGTTGGTGGTTCATCATCCCAACGCAGGAAGTAGTCAACTGCCATATTCAAGGGGGCTTGGGTCAAACTTCATGACTTCGGCCGCAAGCCTTGAGAGTAGCAGGAGGTAAGATTGGTATCCCAGTCTGTAGCACACCTAAGCCAATACCCATCTGGAACCATGGTAAATGCTACCAGCCTGAAAGACTTAATTGTAAGGACATGGCCTGGGCCTTCTTGGTGCCAAGACTAGGCCTAGTCCTAGATGAAGCAGCATCGCACAGGAACAGAACTCCTCCATGGCGCCCTTCAAGAAAGTTCAGTGAAAGCTATTCCCTTTCACTCCTTGGCAGTGAGTTTCTAGCTTTGCAGGCCCAGTCCCCGGGAGTTTCCTCGCTCTCGGCGCTCGCAGCGGGCGGTGCTGTGGCTGCGGCGGTGGCCACCGGGCGCCCAGGCTATTGCGCGAATCACGCGTGGGAGAATCTTTTGGTTGTGTATCTTGATTGAAGGCTAATTCTGCAGGTGCATGCCGACTTGCATGCGCCTTCGAAATTCAATTTCATAGTTGCGCAAAGCATCCAAAAGAAGTCATCGGAAAGGCCGCCAGACGCGAAGCTCTCTCCTCCCTACGTCGGTAAAGGACCTTGCCAAGTCACCTCAAAGTGGGACCTGGTTTGGGTATCTGGTACAGTTCAAAGGAAGGGGTCATGCAGGTTTTTAGCATGCTTTTGGGAGTCAGAGTGAGGATGTCTCCACGTTTGAGGTTCCCATGTAGTGGAAGGCACCAGGCACTGACGTCCCAAGGAAGCGTGGAGATCCACTCATTTGTGCATCATCGCAGCGCGTGCAGGAGAACCGCGTTGCTTGCAAAGCTCTGGATCAGTCCAGCCGATATGCTGACTTGTCCCTGGATGAGGCCACCCTTGTCAAGAGACTGAGCTGCAAGCTGCATGCCGGATGCTTCTTCAAGTTGTGCGGGATGCTAAAGTTACAGTATCGGAAGAGCACTGGGTTCATGGATGGTGTATAGCAAGATAAGCAGCTGGGGAGCCTGTGCTTGAAAGGAACGGCAAGCACGTGCTGGTG